GCTTTGCCGACCGTAAGTATGTGGACTACATTGCTGACTTTTCTCTTATACTGAAAAGTTATTGCTAAAATTATTGTTAGCACTCATTAAACTTATTATTGAGAATTGCATTTTTAAATAATTTAAGATACAGAAAAGTGAAGAAAGTTTTTATTGGGGTATTTTACGTAACAAAAAAGGAGATGATTTCGTCTAAACTCACCCTGTTGGATGCGATTGGTTTAAAACTAAATACAAGGTGTCTCGTAAGTAAGTACACAACATTTAGGCGGAGTTTGAATGGGTTAAAATAAAATGAAAAGCAGGTATAACATTGTTTTAATCGCCTTGGTAACGAAACGTAGTCAATTAAAATATCCGCTGTTTTGTTTTTTTATGTTTTTAATTTATATTTTTAAAACCATTTCAGGTATCTTTATGAAAAGTGGTATACAATTTTTAAATCCATTAGCTGTCAGCAAAAAATAATTTAAAAGTATTATTTGTTTTCAACTTCGTATCTTATTACAACAAAATAATAAATGATTTAGACAGGCTATAGCTGTCTCATATTTTCTTTAGATTGGACACACGAACAGACTGAAGCACAACATAGATAAACAATGTTTCTATTAGCTTCTTGAACTGAACTATTCTAAAGTATTTCAGTTAAACCTATATCGTAACTTATTATAATTATTTCTTAGTAATTGATGCAAATCCTGTATGCCATTTTAATGTTTATGCCAGTAACTATGTAATCTATTCTAAATATTTATATTTTAGTACTCATTGTAATACAGTAGGCTACTGTATTAGATTACAACACCATACATGCAGAATTTGCAAATATGAAATTCTGTTGAAACTCTCCTCCAACGTAGTTCGACTCTATTCCGATAGGCAACAGCACCAACCATTGATGTCCATTTGACCTACGTTACCGACGAATTACTTATTGATTTATATTTAGATTACCGTACTTAAATTGTAACACATTATTTTTAAAACCATCATAATACAGTTAAATTTTCATAGAGTAGTATAAATTGTTATACATTAATATGAAAGTTAAAATTTAACTGCAGATTGTTAAGTGATTGATTTTCATAATGATTCCATATGAAAAGTATGTTTTCTTTTTTCTATAGTAAAAAAGTAGGAACAATTAAACCCCAATTAAGGACAGTTTCTCATGTCTGTATACGGTCATTGGTATCTGAAATACGTATTACATACGGTAAAAATAGTTCACATAGGTTTAGTTATACATACTGTACTACTGAGTACACAAATGTATATAATTAGTGACTACAAATGGAGATTAAATAGCATGCTCAGTTTCTCTGAGACAAACAAAACGTCCCTGCCAAAAACTACACAACTCAACCAAACCTTTTCTTGTAAATAATCTTGTATTTGTTCTCAAGCTTGGAATTTTACGTTAATAGGTATTGTCTAGAATAGGTCAATAAATAAAACCCCCCTCTATTTTGTACATTTTTATTACAAACAGTGTCCTAATTTTTACATGGTCATCTAAAACTATTATTATTATTTGATAGTATTATTTGAGCAAAATGAGCAGTGCTGGTTTAAAATCGTATTAACCAAAGTTGTTGCCAAATCCACTCCCAAAAGATCCAGCTCCGGCTCCAGAAAATCCTCCAAAAGGTGTGCTGATGCTGATGGCCCCCGCTTGGGAGAAGCTGCTGCCGCCCCCAAATGAGGGGCCGCCGCCGCCCCCAAACCCTGGACGACCCCCGAAACCTGGACGGCCAAACTGGGGACTTCTGACGAGACGACCTGGGACAAAATAACAATTTATGCGTTACTGCAACCTTAGAATAATGTTTTAGTTATATAGGTTATTCATGTGGTCAAGTCAATTTATTACACTAAGTCGTAAATTTGTCTATCCACGCCAGTACCATCTTGTTAACGGCTTTTGTAAGGTAACGGTCCAAACCCTGGTATGTTTATATCTAACGTCTACCTGTTAGAAAGCATAATTAATTTATATTCCAACGACAAAAGGCATCTGATTTTTGTGTTTGAAGCCTGAATAATTGGAACTTCGATAAAAAGTCTCTCAAGGGGATTATCAAATAAGACTTGTTATTAAGGTTATCTTCTTATCAAGGTTTGCGATAATATGGAATAAGCTCAATGGAAAATCGAGGGTATTTGAAAATTACACTTGTTATCAAGGGTGACTTGTTATTAAAGTTCCGCTTTTGTAATAACATAGCTGGCGCCTTCAAGTTGGCTTATCAACACACCTTTCACAGCTGAGTTTTTGTTGCGGATTCATTGTTGCAAGGCGCGAAACAGTCAATTAATTAGACGCATTTACATGTAAATTCAATCAATCGTTTTAGCCTCTGGATTGCTTATCAATATCAATATCAATTAATTGTAAATTGAAATTCATGTTCTTCATAGGTTTGGTCTAAGATCTCTGCCTTCTATCAAAAAGCTAATTTAGTTACTAGCTGATAATATGTCTAATAATATAATATTTTTGTATATGGCAAAATATAATCGATTGTAGATTTTCCGAATGTAGATAGTCAAAAAGACAATTTTAATATACGTGTTTCTGTTCCGTATTGGTTAATTTTGCTCTGATGTTTACTATACAATTTTCTGTTAATTCACCAATAAAAAAAACCGTTCTTTTTACTTTAGCTTTTAAAAAAGCTTACGCTGCAAAATACACCTTCTACTAAAGAGAGCAATGTTCATAAAAATGATTAATGATTCTGAAATTCAAGGAAACGAAAGGAAAGCATAAAATATGATCTAATTACGTTGAGCTTAAGTCCTGATACTATACATGTTTTAACAGTACTCTTAAGCTTCAGAACCATTATTTTGAATGAGCATACGTTTAAATATTTTTTTCAAATTTACGCAGACATAAATTAAGTATATTTAGTGTTGCTATGATACAACGATATAAGTAAGATACATGTACAACACAAGGACCTAAGATTTACTGACACCTTAGGTCAATAAACAATATTTATTATTAATTTCAAATAGAGGTAAAAGGCTTTGGACTTGATGCAATAATCAAAATATAAGGCTAGGTTTCATACAAATAGGTTCCCGAAACATTTTTACTACTAACACATTTTTCAGGAAATATTATCATTATTCCACTATTGTCAAGGCTTTCTATAGTGGTTCTATAGAGGAAAATCTAGTCTTATTTATACTAAACATATAAACTATGCCTACTCCATGTTTTAGGACCTACATTAATTGAATTACCAAGCTTTAAAATTATACGTTAAAATAATTCATGTCTAAATATATTTTTTCTGTTGACAATTTCCAAAACAAACTGCGACACTTTAATCAACCACATTCAACGTAATTAATGTGCCCACAGAGTATTTTACATTTCTCAATATAATGAAAAATGTGTCCCAATTAAAATATTTTACTCTCTTAATGTTTTTTTTTTTTTTTTAAGTTAGAGGGTTGAAGTTTTCATTTTTTCTATCTCCTTGACTGCTTAAACAAAAAATATTTTGATCACAAACTTAGTTGTACATAGCTTACCACCGTTTGCAGAGAGGGCGAATAGGAATATCAGTCCGAAGACGACAGACCACCTCCAAGACATGGTAGTAGACTAGAATGTTACATTAGACCCAAGACAATTTTGATGAGTTGTATTGAGGAAAATACCACCTAAAATATCTGACCTTGAGGTTATTCACAATGGTTCTTCCTCCCCTAAAGGATCTTGGCTGTTTATCTCGTCATGTCATTAAGCAGGAGAAGAAGTAAAACAATTTCAATCAATAAACTAAGGTTTTACATTTTTCCTGTAATACGGTGTGAATCGTTCAAGCTCTTAAAAGTCAAAGTCAAAGTCCTTTATTAAGCCAGATTAACAATACATAGAATTGGCCAAGTCAAAAAAATTACATTATTTATTATGAAATTATTAACTACTAAATACATATATACAAATTGTTTGGTTTAACACACGACCCCTTGCGATGAAGTTAAAGACTACCAGCAAATTCCCGGACGCTGTAGCAAACCTTATTTATCAAGATTAACACATTTACTGAATTTTTCGATGTCGTGTTCGGCTTTCAAAGGGAAAGCGAGGTCATTAAAAATTAAACTAAGTACGTAAAAAGTTAGTAAAAAGTAAACTTAAACTGTTAGTTGCTTGCCTGATCCATAGACTGACTCCATAGACATAAAATCCCATGTTCCTAATATATACCCATGTCATAATTTGAACATGGGATGTAATGTCTATGGAGTCAGATCATCATAAGCTATAAAATATTTTATTTCACATAAACTATCATAGTTTGTGCTAAGAGAGGAAATAACATTTCATACTGTAGCTTACTCTGAGAATAGTATTCAATAAATTCTCTAATATAGAGCATGGCCTTGAAGTATCTAGAATCACCTGTTTTAGACATTAGATACACAAAACATCTCAACGAATTTATACAACTGGATATTCCATACCCATGTTTAATTTGTGGCCAGTTAAAAAAAATCACAATCGTCGAAGTTGATGTGATCCACCGACAGATTGTGCTGATGTAAATTAATCACTTCTTTCAAATACACGAGCTTTTTAAGTAATTCAAACTGATTAGGTAGAAAATATAATTTTAGTCACTAGGGTATGCTGTGTCTGGATCGCTCATCTATGTACTTTTTTAATGAAAGATTTGCGACGGATGGTTTATTTAGATGGAATATCCAATAGACAAGCATGTCACTCAGCGAGCAAATTAATTACAGTATTGAGCTTAAGTGTTAAACATAGTTTTATGAATACTTTTACAGTCCCCATTGGATTTACTTCCTTTCAAAAAGTAATATTTCCTATAGCGCAAGGATGTAAATCAAGTTAATTCGTTAGGATCACAGTAACAAGAAAAAACTATTCTTAAAGCTATTTATTATGAGATTTGTACTGTACAGTAATGTTTAAGATGAACGTCTTGGGATGACCTGGGAGTTTTAGGTTATTTCCCGTTACCAGCTCCAAAACCTGCTCCAAAAGAGTTGGCTCCAGCTCCCGAGAATCCTCCAAAGGGAGTGTTTATGCTGATTGCCCCCGCTTGGGAAGCGCCAAAGCCGCCACCAAAACCTTGTCCTTGGTTGCCCCCTTGGTTGCCAAATCCTTGGTTGCCAAAACCTTGGTTGCCAAAACCTTGGTTGCCCCCTTGGTTGCCGAATCCTTGGTTGCCAAATCCTTGGTTGCCAAATCCTTGGTTGCCATACCCTGGGCGGCCTGGACGTCCAAATCTTTGGGGTTCCCTGACGATACGGCCTAAAACAGAGTATCATTCAGGGTTTTTTGGTAGTTGTATACCCCTGTTTGGTGTATAGTGTTATAGTGTTCAAACCAGCCACATACTAGACAGTCATTTAATCGGTTTATTATACAGGGTGTCTCACATAAGGTGTCTCAAATTGATTACGGAAAAACGGCTTAACGTACAATGATGAAATATAATTAATTATTTCCCACTAAATTGACTGCAAGGAATAACGTAAAAATATTTATTTTCCAAAAACCAAATTTTCCTATCTCAAATGCATGCATTTGGGTTTAACACTAATGGCCCCAATTCATGTAGTGTTCAACCCACATAGCATGCTTTTGATATAGGAAAATTAGGTTTTTTTGTTTATACAAAAACTTAAAGTAAAGCTAATTTAATAACGAGTAAGAAAATTCAACCGGAGAAGGGCTAAGTGCATTGGTATAGGAAACACAGAGTATAAAAAATATTGATTTTTCCCAACAAAAAAAAACTATCACCATTTTGAAACGGAAAATGATAATTAATTTATGTTTTCGCCAAAATGTTTGTCTACTAAATACCTTTGAAATGATGAATAACATGACATACGGTTACATTTATAAATTCCAAATTGATATTTTTACGTCATTCCTTGGGGAGCGGGAAATAATTTTATATCATCCTTGTACTTTGAGCCGTTTTCCCGTAATCAATTTGAGACACCTTACGTGGGACACCCTGTATAGCTGTGTAGTTTTTTTTCTTAACGTTAACACTTCACAATTTAATTCTATGTGAAAACCCTGCAAATAGTCAATTATTTACTGTTAGATAAACATATACAGCAACTTCCTTTAACTGTTTTAGTTTGTTGTTGTTTTTAGCTTGTTCATTAATATATCTGAGTGCTATTAGTAAAAATGTAATCATAAATCAGGGATTATACGCAGATTTGATTTAGGATGTGTGAATCTTCCTCTTTAAAGCTTTATTAAATAAATAAAACTCAGCGAGGATAGTTCAGGTGCATTTGAGGCTAACACTGATAAAAAATGTTTTATATTGAACAATTAATTGACTTACTAGGATTTCCAGCGATCTCAATGCTCAAAATTGGTTTTAAGTTTAACTAAAGTTTAAATTTGAACGTTTTGAATTGTAATACCTTGGATATTTTATGCAGTTCAAAAATTGTTACAGTATTACTTATATTTGGCTACGTAATTATTTTCAAAAAGTGTATTTCGAAATTTTTGTTTTTGATTATTGTAACATCCCATATCAAATTAAATCTTAGCTCATAAGGAATGCAGCATTTTAACCAGAGTAGATATTTGTATTGTTATTAAAAATAAAGGATACTTAAAATTGTGCAACACTTTCACATAAAGAGCCGCCAGACTAATAAATAGTCAAATTTTGATTCCACATAAAGTTGTGTGTGTTACCAAGAGCTTTAAATAATGTGTACTTTGACCCATAATCGTATTTTACTGTTGTAGGATTTGAAGTAGTGAACTTCTGGTTTTGGTACATTCTGTATTAAAAAAAAATTAAACTATTTTAAAGTAATTTCTTGGGGTTGGTTTAGTGGGAAGATGTTTAATTTCATCATCGTGGGACCAACAAAAAATCTGAACAGTCTGAAAAAAGTCTGAATTCAATAGTGAAAACCCTGTGTGTGGTGTTAACTAGTGCCTCACGCTCAATATTAATACTGTAGGCCTATTCAGTTTTTTAGTTCATCAGCACTGACCATAACCTAAACACAAACTCTGTAATGGTTATTTATATTTATTTACATATTTATATAATTTACATTTATACATGCCGTTGCTAAAATTAGGTCAATTCTGTCAGTTACAACTTATATCTAATACAGTTAACTACGTATATACTCCTTTGTGTAAGGTTTATGAACTCGAAAATCAACTTACTCTATAGGGGTATTTGATTCAAGTTCAGAATTATAGCAACATTTTATTTTTAAAATGTAGAATTATAGCCAAGTTTTATTTACCGATTACATCAATGTATTTCTACTGTGACGGCAATGCTTTTTCTAAGACGTAAACAAGCTAATAACCAAATATAAGTTAATAATATGAACATTTCTTACCAGCATTAACGGAGATAATCAGTATTAGAAGGGCGACAAGGAGTGGAGTCCATCTTGGAGACATGGTGGACGACTGGACCTTGTTAATTTTTGACCTCGTCCGAATGTCTGAATGTTTACTGTATCTGTAAGAGCCCGTGGGCATCGGCTAATGACTTTAACATATCAAATAGGAACAACAAGAGTAAACCGTTAGGCTAATATTCTAGTTAACTACGTGCCATCGTACTGTAATATTTAAGTATGATTTAAAACCTGATTCATAAAAGGCACACGATATGGTGCTTGATCATACAATGGGTCTTCTTATCGTTAATGGATTTGCTTAGTCTGTGATTGGTGTTGTGGTATTGTTGTGAACACTAAGACACAAAGAAACTACCACTGTTTCTTTTCTTTCTATATTCTATTCTTTTATGTTTATTTTTTGTACCGCTGTTGCTTTTTTTCATCTACACATCACCAACTACACACTTGGCAAATGTGTTAACATTTAGGAGACCCATTACACGATCAATTATCATATATCGTATTCCCTTCATAAAAGCTTTTAAATCATAATTGAATATTCCAGTTCGATGGTGTGGGGTTTAACCATCCTATCGCCTAACAGTTTCCACGTGTTTTTCCAATTTTCAATAAAGTTAACGTCATAGTGTTAGTCATCAGCCGATGCCGACGGGTTTTAACAGAAACAGAGCCAGTCAACAGTCAGACGCACGGGCAAATTAACAATAAACAAATGAAATAAAATATATTATCCAGTCGTTCGCCATGTCCCCAAGATATACTCTAGTATTTGTCATCCTTCTAGTTACGATAATCTCCGTTAATTCTGGTAAGAGAATTTCATATTATTAACTTATATTTGGTTATAAGCTTGTTTAAGTCTTAGAAAATGCATCGTCATACCATCATACTATAAATTAACTTTTGTAACAAAGAAATAAAACTTTGGCTATATGGCTAAGTGTATTCCGCAGTTATAGCCATTGCCGACTAGTTAAAATCTTACCACAGTAAAATACAAACATATGTAATATCATACATAATTATAAAGCTCACGGTAGGTAACACAAACATTTTGGCGAAATCAAAATCTAACAATTATTATTCGTCTAAAAAATAGCTCTCTATGTAAAAGTTCTGTTAGTATTTAAAATACCCTATACTTTTCTTGACAATGCAAACATCTACTGTTGTTAAAATTTTGCATTCCTTATAAGCTAAGCTTCAATTTTATAATATGCAATATTACTAATACTATTATATGCATATCTCAAAAACTGCAATTCCAAAATATATATATTTCTTTTTTGAAAATAGTTACGTAGTCAAATAAAACTAGTAGGATATGTCAAATTGCAATAAATAACAAAAGTATTATAATTTCAAGTACATTTTTAAGTTTTGAATTTATAATAGTTGAACTTGAGTTCTTTTCATCCGTTAGGTTGAACTTTTAATGCACGTCCTTAAAAATACTGGTATGGGTCAATAAATACAATCGGTCCCTTATATATTAATTAGGTCTATATGAATCTTTGTATGTGTTATAAACGCACCAGATTCATCCTCACAGAATTTTATTTTTTGATACATCTTTGTGGAGGGAGCTTTATACAAACTACTGCTTTCGTAGAATCGTAGATGGAAAAAATGTATTATTTAGAGCCTAAACAATCAATATGAGAATTATTAATGTTTTACTAATGCAATTCAGATTAATGAACAAGCTAAATACAAAAATAAATTAGTCTTAAAGTTAATGGATGTTGCTGCATATCACAGTGAATAATCGACCACTTGCAGTTTTTTCACATACAATTAAAACATTGTTGAAGTGTTAATGCTCACTACGAAAATATACTTAACTATTTACTAAATTATTTGTCAAGAATGTTAATTTTCTTCAAATCGTTTAATTAATCGACTAAACCTTACTGGGTCTTAGTAGAAAGAAAACGCTCAAATATTTACAATAGCTCTATTTGATAAATAAGAGGTTAATTTACCTTAGTATCGTCTTGTGACTCTCATATCCTCTCTTAGAGGAAGTATATAAGAGGCACAAGACGATACTAAGTTGAATTAACCTCTCATTTATATTTTAAGTGACTCGAGACTACACAAAAATGAAATTACAAGCCTCACTAGCTTATCTGTCGTTGTATAGTTGGCTGAACTGTGCTTGAATGGTTCTTTTTTTGAAAGTTTTGTGTTAACTCATGTCCCTTGGTCTAAAGAATCACACATGATTACAGGATACCGAAAAAATACAATATTACTAAGATTTCATACTCACCCTGTAAGACGTAGAACAACATGACGCTAATATGCCTATTGTCTATCTTTCCAGTCTATCAAGACAAAGGGGACAGTTAGATTTTTTTTATTTCAAGGTATTCTTCAATACTTTTTCAAAATCCGTTCACATTGCACAATGTTGAAATTAAGCTTCCTAGAGAGCGCATCAATAGGTTTACTCAAACAATTTCTCAGTGATTGGTTTAGTCCTTAAATTTATTATCAAGGTTAAGTGGGTGAGGATCTAGTGTTAAACACGAGATAACTTATAATGTTATTGTTAAGCCTCTGAATATGGCGGCTGGCGTAAAAGCCTCAACATTGAGCATTAAATAGGGAAATAAAATTTTATAAAAAACATGAATGATATTCTCTTTTTTAGGCCGTATCACCAGACAGGCTCGAAGATTTGGACGTCGAGGCCGTCCATGGTATCGCCGAGGTTATGGCAACCAAGGTTATGGCAACCAGGGTTATGGCAACCAAGGTTATGGCAACCAGGGTTACGGAAACCAAGGATATGGCAACCAGGGTTATGGCAACCAAGGACAAGGTTTTGGCGGCGGCTACAGCGCTTCCCAAGCATCAGCATTCAGCATCAACACACCCTTCGGAGGATTCTCGGGAGCTCTATCCTCATCTTTTGGAGGGGGTTTTGGGTAACAACGGGAAATAACTGAAAACAACAAATCCATCTCAAGTATTATTGTACAGTACAAATAATAAATAGTTTTAAGGATAATTATCCTATTTTATTATGCCCCAACCTGTGAATTCCTTACTTGAAATCTGATTAACTAATTCGTATCGCTAGAACATAAGAAATATTACTTTTAGATGGTAAGTTAATCCTTTTAATGGTGGGAAAGTATTCTTAAAATTATATGAAACTCTTAAGATTTATTTTTCTGTATTGAAATAGCTCTTGGGAGGAGTGTTTAAAAGGTACCCTTCCAAACAGGAGTTAAAATTGACAGTGTAGGTGTTACCTATTTTATCCTATGTTATAGTAAACATAGCTAACATGTTTACTACATGTTACCAAGCCAGTAAACACTAGTACAACGAAACACTAGTACCAATATAAATTAACAAAGACAATACCATTGATTAATAATTGACGATGAATCACTAGTGATCAGTGACGATGAGGATAGTAGTGAATCAGTGAAACGAGAAGATATATGACATGATAACACCTGAACACTAGTACCAATACAAATGACCATTGTCCATTGAGTGACAACACCATTGATTAGTGACGGAGTCACTAGTGTTCAGCGGCAAAATCAGTGATCAGAGACGAAGACGTCACCAGTTACCAATGAAAACAGCAGTTGTGATTGACAATGATGGCACCAGAACAATGCCAATATGAATGACCAGTGAAACCCCATTGATTAGTGACGATGATTCACCAGTGATCAGAGACGATGACGACATTAGTGATAAGTGAAAGTTTTGATCACCCGGTTGTTTACTGGAACCATCCTCCGCTCCTACACGGAAATTCAAATGATAGTTGTCTGCCTTTGGCCACAACCGTTTACCTTTTAACTAATAGAGGGGTTGATATGAACATTAGTATGATTGCATGATCATTACTTCTAACTAATAACCGTTGTGTTGGATCATCATGTTTCATTTTCTGTTATTGCCAATGAGGCTGGACAAATTGTTTGGTTGCGAAAGAGAAAGACTTTGTTGGTTCCTAGTTCTATGATTGATTACTACTAAACAGCAGTTTTAGATAGTGTTTGTTTTTATAATTACTGTAGAATTTTGATCAAATTAGTGTTAAATTTTCAATATTTTATTTTGTTTTCGTAAAGGATATCTTAAAGATGCCACTGTTGGGAGCATGGCTTGGTTGACAGGTTATTTTAACAACTTTTGAAGAAACGTTGAAAGACGCAGTGAGAATTATTCCTTTAAGTAACCTAGGATAGCCAGGAAAGAAATGTTAAGTCAAACCAATGGTGTTTCTTCATCATTGAAGATAGTTTTTCTACTTCTGCTATTGGTGTTACCAGTTGGAGTAGGACAGCCCATCAAAAAGCAATAACACTAAACGTTGAGCCCTATGAAGCTGGTGGATATGTTCAAGTTTGTATGATAGCAATCAAATGGAGGTGGTTGTGATCTTACTCAATGACGCACCGTACCTGTGTGTGTAAAGGGTAACGATAGTTTGAGGCGATTTGTGTTCTTTGGAAGTTCTGAATACACAAACGATGAGTCATGTGAAAGTTAAAATAAAATAGCTTTATAAATAGATATGCATTTTTTGTAAATTCTAAATGGAAACAGAGACAAATGCCACAACATGTTATGTAAAGTTATTGAGTCACTTCATTCTTCTCATCTGCGGTCTTCAGTAGTTAGTTATTTCTTTCAACCGCATACGTCGTGTACTAATTTTTTTTTTGCAACTGTATTTTTAAATATGTATTTTTTTTATTTTATACACTTGTTATAATTTTTCACATTCTAATTTTATTTAAACGTATTTACCTATTGTTTACTCCACTTATAGCACATCACTCTATCTTTCTCAACTTTCTTTTTATTGCTACACCAATTGTTTAGTGAGTCGGTGGCTCAGTTGGTACCGTCGCGGACTTCGGGCCCAAGGCAGCGATGTCGTGGGTTCGGATCCTGGTCACTGCCGATAACATTTTATCAGTACAGTTCACCTTTGTACTGTACCGGCTCACTCGGCTTTGCTGTAAACGATCCACGCACGGGCGCTTAGCCTATGTGGACGGGCAAATGCATGGTTAAAAGAGGCCGCCAACCTCTTTAAAAAAAAAAAAAAAAAAAAAAAAGTGTTAGTCGTTTTTTTGCTCCTATTTTCACACCATTTAGAATAGATTTATACGACAACCAGGGTACTTATTTTTAGGCAAAGATGGGTGAAGGATTAGTGTAAAAAGAATGATAAGACAGCGATGTCACTGACTAAGATCAGCTGGTTCTTCACGCTGGGCTATTTATTGAATGGCCAATGATCGAGGATATCATTTATAGGTTTAGCTTCGAACCATCAAATTGTTTCTAACTTTTTTCATCAATCTGGCAGCCGTTTGAGTTGTAGGCGAACAGCCTAGCTTATCTTTTGGCATCCCATCCTCTATGGAGATTTCTTCTTTACTCTTATCCTCCAACACCCATAGGACTAACTCCACCGAAATCCAACTTTAAGCAGGATTGAGTCATAAATTCCCTCTCTAGCGGACTGCCTCGGCCTCGGCTGTTGGCGTGGGTGACTATATCAACAAAATCAACAGAGTTGTTCCGCGTTACTGGTCATGACCGGCGAATCACGGGTGGAGAAATTGCTATTAAACCGAGATAAGCACTTTCGCCGTCACGACTCGATTGTCGGACCAGAGATGGACCATCGGCACACCCTGTACAAAGGCCATCAGCCATCATGCAGGACGGTAGCGCCATCACAGTAGGCTTAGACAGGAGAGTTGAGTATAAATAGGTTAATAGAGGTTTGAACTCAATGCTAGTAAACAGGGAGTGTATGGGGTATACTAGCTCATAATGGTTAGTACATAAACATAGTTGAATGATTGAATGCCTAACCTAACCTAACATAACCTAACCTAGCCTAGCCTAACCTCATCGCAAACAAACAGGGAGGGCATAAGATTTAATAGCTCAATGGTCAGTACATAAAAAATGTTTGAAAGCTTAAATGCCCAACATGGCCTAACCTAACCTAATCTAACCTAACGTAAGATAACCATAGGAACCAAATACTTGCTCTTTTAGAATTAGAAACTAAATTGGCTGCACCAATGTGTATGTTTGGTTATAAGTCTTTTCTGAAGTGGGTTTCCCCTGAAAATTGAGTTTAATAAACTTCTTGTTAGGAATCAAAGGTGTATCTTGTAAATTAAGTGGATTGATTGGCATCAATAAATACGTTTAATACGTTATACCTATTAAACATCCAATGAATAAAAGAAAAGTCAAATACAGTTACATTACCCAGTTATCGCTGTATATACATCTACGTTGTCGTGATTGTCCAGCCCATTATCATAAGTATCGTTGTTGAAGTGCTGTAAAGTGAAAAACAAATATATTACACTGTAGTAATGGAAGCAGTGTTTGACTGATTGGTCGAACAACCTTTGAGATGATACTATAGGGGAGCCAGGGTAATGGCTAAGGTTAAACCAAGCTGTATAGAGCTCCGAAAAAATCATACCTAACTAGTTGCACATTCAGAGTATGGTCCTACCGCTACCAGCCCTTTAACCCTTTACAAGTATTTTATCTTGTGAATTTTTACTTCTGTCATGTAGATCCATTGCTGACTATTTTGACTGTTTAAGATAAACAACTAACCAGAGGACGATAATAATCTCACTTAAGACTAACTGAGTTTTCTACTGCAAAGTAATAAATATGTAGAATTCAGTTCATGAAAAAAGGAGTATCCTTCAAATGATTCAAGCAAGTTTGCATGCATCTATACTTATATAATGTATCTATAGTCTGTATAATGGAACATGTCTCATGGCCCTCCGAATACCTGGATCTGTACCTTGGCGAGTCTCCAGGTAGAGGGTCAAGAGACAGGTTCCATCATACATACTATAAATGCAGGACTCAGTAACTTGCACAGTTCAGTAATACTTGACTGCTAGTTACACAAACACCATCGAGATGATTCACCTCCATCCTCATCATCAAACGTCTGGAGGAATCAGACCACGGTTTGCAGAGTCGACCTTTGTTCAGCTATAACTGTAACTGTCTCTCGTAAACAGCAATACAGCTGATCTGGGATTCTTACTTTCACCCCCCGAGCGCTTCCTAGACCCAACGTCTGTCTCTGTAGGTCATGATGAACGGCTCACAACTGGTTTTATTGCCAATAAACACAACATTACGTAAACCAACCCATTATTTTGCCGACTCAAAACGCTCAAGTATTGTGTTTTGTAAGAGAATGTTTTGAGGTAAAGCAAACCGCATGAATTATGTTTCATATTATGTTATTCTTCTTCCGAATGGCACATGTAAAACGTTGTATACAATTTCTTCATTGATAACTAATGCTCAACATCAACGACACACGTAAAACAGCTTATATTGTACTGTAATTTCAATAACATAAACACATAACACAATAATAATATCGATAAAAAAACAGACCATCCTTTCGTCAGACATTCTTTTAGTCGTGCCGTTTTTTATTGTGACGAGCACCTTCTTTCTTTCTGATAGATTTTTTATCTCCCATTGATCCACACATCATCCCATTCTTCCAGGTGGTTTTATCTCTGAAACACTCATAATGCTCCTTAATCCATCTAAATCTTCAAATGTGGGGGGTTTTCATTTGGTCGAAAGGAGATGCCGTTCCAAAATATTTTAATAATGAGCTATTTGAAATTAGTTTCTTCCAATGTTCCTAAATTACTCATTTGCCAGTATTTGTGGATATTTTATACCCAAAAACAAATTGGGGTTAGTTAAATGTTTAAAACTACATCATATTCTGAAAAATCATATATTTATCATATTACAACCTAAATAATAGCACTATGTTCTTCAGTAGCTGCCGGCGGTTGGCCCATTTACAACGTTGTGTAGTCTGTTCCTCAGTAGCCGCCGCCAGTTCCCATGTACAACGTTGTGTAGTCTGTTCCTCAGTAGATGCCACCGGTTGGCCCATGTACAACGTTGTGTCGTATGTTCCTCAGTGGCGGCTGCCGGTTGGCCCATGTACAACGTTGTGTCGTATGTTCCTTAGTAGCTGCCGCCGGTTGGCCCATGTACGACGTTGTGTAGTCTGTTCCTCAGTAGCTGCCGCCGGTTGGCCCATGTACAACGTTGTGTCGTATGTTCCTTACTAGCTGCCGCCGGTTGGCCCATGTACGACGTTGTGTAGTCTGTTCCTCAGTAGCTGCCGCCGGTTGGCCCATGTACAACGTTGTGTCGTATGTTCCTTAGTAGCTGCCGCCGGTTGGCCCATGTACGACGTTGTGTAGTCTGTTCCTCAGTAGCTGCCGCCGGTTGGCCCATGTACAACGTTGTGTCGTATGTTCCTTAGTAGCTGCCGCCGGTTGGCCCATGTACGACGTTGTGTAGTCTGTTCCTCAGTAGCCGCCGCCGGTTGGCCCATTGCCTAAGCGCCATCTGCATGTCAAAGATGTTCGTTGCCAGGTCATCAGTCTCTGACATCAGTTGGGAGAAAGTGCCCAAATTGTTGACACTGCGATCTGACTTGTCCATTTAAGTCCTAAGTTAAACGGTTTGTCTGGTTTGCAAAGAATTTTTATTGCTGGCCCTAAATATTTTAACGTTTTATATTGCAAGTAATTTTATCTTTAACAGTTTTCAGTTTGGTAAAGATGTTTTAAAATTGTTTTTATAAATATTTTAATGTTTTTATGACAGGTTTTGACATGAACTTCTACTTGTCCTGAGAAGGGTACATCTTTTATTTTAGTTGTTGAATTTATATTTACATTGTTTTAAATATAATGGTTTAAAAAAACTAATGTTTAAAGGGTTATTGTTTTTCAAACAACAATTACTTATTTTTAGGTCCGAATGAATTGTTATGTACATCGCGTGTTAAATATGTGTTTTAATACAATTTACTCAACAAATGATTGTGTAAATTACGATTGTCAATTGTAATTTCTAAAAATAACCATTTCAATACAGTAAATAGTAACTTTTTATATAGTCATTCAAACTGCTGTAGAAAACATATCTTAACCTTATATATCTAACGTTTTCCTAAACCGATCCCTACCAGGATGATTTGACATTATAAAGTTGTTCCCTGTTTCCTAGAAAGCTCCTCGGAAGTGGATATTTACAGATATCTGTCTAACCGGCTCATATCCGGCTTGTTATGGTTCTGTTATCATTGGAGGATGGATTTTTTATGAATTAACTAAATTATAGCCCAACTACGTAATCAAATTACACACGTCTCTGCCATCGTGTCCTGCCTGATTTCCTGGTATCGGATTTTCTAAAACTGTCATTAGCCTAAATGATCCTCTACTCAGGGTTTTTATAAACCTCGTTTGTTTTTTATTATTATATTTTCAGAGGCCATTGGAGAGTTTTTGCGATATAAGAAAAGAAATTTTTGTAAAAGTATGTTTAAAAATTTTACGAGTTGAACTTGAACTATATAGAAATACATTTCAGAACATTCCTTAAACATTTAGACAAGAACAGTAAAAGGATTTAATGAAATAAAAACGAAAAAATTACACTAAATAAAAATATTAATCAAAATAACATTTTAACATCGTCAATTATTATTCTTAGTTGAACCAGCCCGAGTTTAATAAATTTAGCATATACATACAGTATATAATGGCCTATCACACATCTTACCACGCAAAACATATTATTGTTTTCTGACAGTATTTATTTAGCTAATCATAATTTTGTTTACGTCATGTGTTTCTAGTGTTTCAATGTTGTTCTCTGCGTTTGTGTATTTGTACGCAAATTCACTTTTTCACGTTGCACATTTGATAGTCTTCAGCACCAGATGAATAAAGTAACACGTTCATATAGCCTGAAAATGACTCTTATTGCCGAAGCTGAGGCTTTGATGCAAATTTAAGATTTTCCACTAAGCGAGTATTTACACTGTATTTTTAATAGTTAAATATTTGAAGCGAAGAGAAAAAACACCTAAACACCAGGTAGATTTCTAGCCGCTCTCTAATCTAGAGCAATGGAGATGTATGACCGGAAGAGGAGGCGGGAGGCGGGAATATGTCTGGCGTTTTGGCGGGAAGGAAGCCACTTACTACGCTTGCGCAACTGTGAGATGTTCCGAGATTGGTTTACATCAGCTGGTTCAACATCTGACTTAACAGCTGATAATTGTTTAAACAGCCAATCTCCTCCGAGACTGGGTTTGTGGCTGATTGCACTTCAGACGATTGCGTGTATTAAATTTTGACTATTGCGCATTGGAGTGTCCTTGGATTTTGCTGTCTGGAGTTGTAAAATTTTTTCACACATTATTATTGTTTTTATACAGATGTTTCAAAATAAATGACGTCAAATGATATTAATATGCATAACTGAATGCACATATATAGAATTTAAATAGATTTGACCATATACATAAGCATCACTCAATATATATATATATATATATATATATATATTTTGATAGTTCTGTTCACTATATATATATATATATATATTTCACACCATCAAATCCTATTAGGACGCTATGCTGCTATAGCCCGGGATCATTTTTACGCCTGCCGTATCGGCCGTCAGCCGACATCGGCCGTTTCACAATCGTACCACCTGTCGGCTAGAAAAAAATGAATGAAA